TATTTCCAACAAAGAGGCATCTGCTCAAAATCCTATGACCAAATCCCGGTCATCTGGTCGGTGGTTTGAAAAAGATGGCTTGTTTAATTTGGATGAGGAAGGGCGTGCTGAAAAGGAATTGTATGCTGTCGCTGCTTCTAATATTATCCGCAACTTCTCTTTCATGCCCGATAATGTAGTAATCATGGCTCAACACCGACGTTGTTTGGAAACCCTATTTCAGTGTATGGAGGATTATGCTACAGGTGGGACAATAATTATCGCTTTGTTTTAGCCTTTATTGTGATTGTGGTGGCATTGTGGCCTTATATGCCCCTTGATTTGTTATTTCATTTGTAATTTGTTATTTATATTTCTGTTTGCAATTTAAAGTGCTTCATGATGTTTTTTTAACAGAGGATGAAGAGCTGGTGACAAATGCCCTGGAGGCAATTGTGAACTTAGCCCACTTGTTAGATCTTCGAATATTCAGCTCTTCAAAGCCTTCCTTCCTCACGATGACGTATGTACTTACTAGGCTAGCTTCATGTTTATCTCCCCATAAAATCTTATCTGTTGAATCCCATGCGCTGGTTTTTTCTATCTAGGGAAAACCGTGCTGTGCTTGCCATAAAGGGATTGCTCGACTCTGCTGTCCAGGCCTGGCATTGTGCAGCTGCCGAGTTAATCAGCCGTCTGATAATAGTTTCTGATAATGAGCCATTTCTTCTTCCATTTGCTGCACAGGTACACTAAACTTTCATCTTTTCGGTTAACTAAGCTAAGAGTCTAAAACTGGATGCATATAAAAAACAAAGATATTCCTAAATCAGTTTATTATGTTTCCAGATATACACACGCTTAGTTGATCTTTTGAGCTTCCCAACAACTGATGCTCAAGCAGCTGCTGTTGGGGTGTTATACAACCTCACAGAAATCAATTCAGATTGCCGCCAGAAGCTTGCCACTGAACGATGGTGAGAAAATATCCAAGTCTCTTTATCTTTTATGGGTTACATTTTTTGTCTTTATCCACCTGATTGTGGTAAGTACTCTTTGATATAAATATAGGGCCATTGATCGGTTGTTGAAGGTGATCAAGGCTCCTCATCCTATTCCAGAAATTTGCCGGAAAGCAGCTTTGGTTTTGGAGAGCCTTGTGTCGGAGCCACAAAACAAAGCTCTTCTCCTTGGGTACGAACACGCTTTCACCGATATGCTTTTTGGCGAACCAAAGTATTCCGACATATTTGCAAGGATTCTGTACGAACTTACGTCGCGTCCAAGCAATAAAATCACAACGGCTCGAGGCATTTGGGGCATGTAAGTAGCAATATTCTCTGGCTTGACACCTCTGCTAAATTAAACATCATTTAACATGCATTTACATTGTTAAACGTAACTCTGTTTTGTCAATTCTCTAGGGCCTACTTAGGTAGTTTGTGTTTTGATGCTAACCAGTTAAGGTCTTCTTATACCAAAAATATATTGTACCATTAGATTATTTCTTCATGCTAGGTGTTGACTATTATGGAGTCTTCATTATTGTATTTCACACCTGAACCTAATTCACACCTAGTTTCTCTAACAAATGCCTGCGTAGGGCATCCACGACCACCGTGCTAGTTTCTCAACAAAATAGACCTTTTGACCCCCTGTAATTAAATTTCACAAGATATATATCTGCAAGTACCATGTGGAGGTGGGCGTTGCGTTGTTGGCAAGGCAACGGGTGCTAAGGAAGTGATACCTGAGTTTGATTTCGGGTAACTACACTGGGAGGCAATTATGCTAAACATAGGGCATCTGCAATTATAAGATGCAAGCTCCACTCTTCGCCATCAATCTGTAATTAAAACCTAATTTACCTCTTCTCAGGTGATTGTTCGGCCGGTTCTGAGAAGCTCTCATGATGAGTTTCATCCTTTCACAAGACAAATATCTTGTTTAGCCTTCTTCATTTGTCCACTAGGTGTCCATCTTTTTCTTCAATATGTCTATGTGACAAACGTACAAAACTAAAAAAATGTATCTCGAGGCCGAGATACAACTCCACGTACTCCATCCGTACTAAAATGTTCCTCGCATATCATTTCACAGAAAAAGGCGTGGTGTCCACACAATCATGAACCGTCGTACTTCATCAATCTCATTCTTTTGTTAGAAAATCAGCGAATCACGTTGTCCATTCGAGTTTCTAGCTATATGCCTGGCATGGGGGAATGGGTTCATAAACCACCAGATCTGCTTTTGGAGGCTTCATCTTTTGATTTGGAATATGTAGAGTTGACCATTTTGGGGAAAAAAGGTGTGTGATCCATGTTTTTTTTCCATTTTTAAATCAACTACAATCATAAATCAACTACAACCAGAGAGTTTCATTTATTAATGACCGCGTCATGTCATATCAACTTTGAAAGATCATTTTAGTATATAATTACTCTCCCCATCTCATAAAAAAAATTTAATTTTGACTTTACGGGAAATAAGAGAAACGGTGAAAAGTGTGGTTAAAAGTTAAAACTCATTTTTGAGAAAAAAATGTAATCCACTAGACAAAGGAAAACAGCCACCCACCTACAGAGATCTTATGAGTTCAGCTTCTGTGAAAAAAGGAGCTCATGAGATCTGCTCCTAAGTGATTGGTTGTACTCCCTCCGTCCCTGAGTGTTTGTCCACTTTCATTTTTGCACACCATCCAATGCATTTCTTTAATCCATTTTATCTTGTAATTTGTATATTAAAAAATTATATATTAATAATCTATATGTTAAGACGAATCAAATAAGATCACACATGACTATTTTTAGACTTACACATTGAGAGAATTTGATGAGTCAAAGTGCTTAGATGAACAGTTCCAAAAGTCAAAAATAGACAAACACTCAGGGACGGACCAAGTATTAATCAATAAAATGAAACTCATCCTAGGTCTTTCTAGAATTGGTCAGACCGTTATCTCGGAGAAGATAAGTTGAGCTACAGTATCTATCAGCTTTAGTCCAAAAAATAAAGATCGTGATTTGTCTTCGAAATGTGTAAAGGCCAATGCTACATGACCGTCTTTCATCATCATCGTTATTGCAAGTTATTTTCTCGATTTTTTTAATTCGAATTGTCTGTTTATTATTCACAGAAAATAAATTTAGTTAAACCACGTAAATGACGACAGACGATTTAAATTGGAACGAATAAGTAGTAGAACTTTGTCATTAATTACCCAATTTGCACAATTTTTTTCTCTTTTTGGGTCATAAGTGGCCGGTTGTATAGTTATGCTAGTAGATGATTTGCATGGCTGGCAGATGCACATGTTGAGAGACACCATACTTAATGCATGATGCCCCATGCCCATCTCATGATTTTACAGCATACCCCTGCCTTTATCATTTTAACCCCTACCGTATCTTCGTATTTAGTATTAGGAGCATGTTACATGTACTCTAAAATTTGTACTCATTTGTACACCAAAGGTATGCACTAACATTTCATGGTTCACACTGACACAAAGTGTTGGTGCGTTAACAAAAATTTACACTGACACAAAGTGTTGGTGCGTTAACAAAAACTAGTATTACACCAACACAAAATGTTAGTGCATCCCTGCAGTGTACAAAATGGGATACAAATTCTTGGGGTACAAATAAATTTGTCCTTATTACAACCATATTACTACTTCCTCTTCCCACAAACTTTATTATTCCCTCCGTTTGTAAAAGATTACCACCGTTTGACTTTTTTGGTCAAATTGTGACTCATTGATCGCAAATTATGAAAAAATATTTTTAATTATAATGTAAATTTAGTAAATTTAGGTTTATTTTAAAATGTAGTTTTGAAATATCAAATTTTTATAATATTTAATTATTTTAAACTATATTTAATTTGTAATCAAAGGGTGCTACAGTTTGAACAAAAAAGTCAATTGTGGCAATCTTTTAGGGACATGGAGTATATGCTACTCCTTTCACTTGAAAAAAATGTTGAAAGTTGAAAGTTTTGTAATTCTATTTTGTTTGGAAGGAATGGAATATATTAATGATCCATTAGGTACACGGAATTGATGGTATTAGAATTGAATTAGAAGTTGAAATTCCATGGAATTAATTTGGATGTAATTGAATTATCTAAGGCCCCGTTTGGTACATGGAATTCAAACCATGGAATTGGAATTGAGGACTTCAATTCCAATTTTGTTGTTTGGTAGCACAAAAATTATGTGGTTTTGGAATTGATAGTGCAAAAAATGAATTGGATTTGGCAAAATTCAATTCTATGGAATTGAATCCCATGGAATTTCAATTCCAATTCAATTCCAATTCCGTCAATTCCGTATACCAAACGGACCCTAATTCTAATTCATTTTTGACACTACCAATTCCAAATCCACATATTTTGTTTTACCAAATATCAGAATTATAATTGTTGTTCCCAATTTCAATTCTATCATTTGAATACTCTGTACTAAACAGTGTCCAATATTTAGGAGTGTGAAAGGAATTAACTCCGAAATTTATATAGCTTTCGAAATATTATTACACTCTCTTATGTATTACTTATACATTTGTGTATATGATGTTTTATGTGTGACACGCATATGTAGATTTAGAATTTACTATACACAATATTATTTCACATGTTTATTTCATTGCATATACTCAAAGTATTTGTATTATGAAGTTGATACACACACACACACATAGTAATTGTGCATTGTACATTTCATGGTTAAAAAACTTTTTATTTTCTAGAAACACTTTTAATCTATGAAATAGACAAATAGTAACATTGAAATTTTGAAAACGAAATTGCCAAAAAACATAAAGTGTATATACTCAAAGTGGGAAATCCCTTTTACTTTTGTAGTCAAAAGAGCTTTTCATTTTGTACATATTCAAATTGTTCACATTATAAAATTAGTATACGTGCATTTTGTAGTTACATGTAGGTACATCTAGAAATACGTTACTCCGTATAATTTATCCACTAGAGACAAATGTTAAAGAGATCAAGAAATATTTTTGGACGTATAAATTTTAATATTGCCTTCTTTGTAACAACTTGGGGTACGTACGTATAACGGTTCAATCACCGAACTAAACAAACTTTCTCCTATAAAATACAAATGCCAATCAATACATAGTAGCAAATTAATTTAAGACATGTTGGTATTGTATTCTCCCTTTCTCACCTTTTAGGTGTCTACTTGACTTTTTTTGATACAAGTAAAAATTAACAAATCTGTACATAATTTATGTCAGTTTCATTTAATTTTCAAATGTATCAAAAGAGGCTATATTTAAATCTCAACCAATATAATTAAATGAGGCGTTAGTTTATGGTTGCAACTCTAGGGACTTGGACAGGGAATTCATGAATCTCCTCCATCCAAGGGTTCTTGATCTTGGCCGGATCGACGGTCTTCAACGCACGCCAAACCGCGCTGTTACATTTGAACCCCGAACCGAACGCGATTTGCCATGTCCGGTCCCCCTTTCTAATCCTCCCCTTTGCCTCGGAATAGGCCAATTCGTACCACAACGAGCTACTCGACGTGTTCCCGAACCGGTACAACGTCATTCTAGAAGGCTCCATGTGCCACTCGCTGAGCTCGAGGTTCTTCTCGAGCTCGTCGAGCACCGCTCTGCCTCCTGCGTGGATGCAGAAGTGCTCGAACGCCATCTTGAAGTCCGGAATGTAGGGCTTGATCTTCATCTTCAACACCTATACAAAAGAAAGATGTATTTATTACTTTGATTATTGAATCATCATTTCATATGATTTGTACATAATTCAAGAATTATTAAAATCTTAAGTAATTTATGAGGAATTTACTTAAATAGCACTAAAACATAATGACTTTTTCTAAATAGCACCACATGTGTTTTTCTTCCTAAAGTAGCACTTTTAGTCATTATGCACTGGTCATTATTCAAGTAAATATTCCCTCATCACTGGACATTATTAAGTGTTATTTAGAGAATAAAACAGTTTAAGTGCTATTTAGAAAAATGACTTAAGTTTTAGTACTCCCTCCGTTCTCAAAAACACTTCCTCTTTCATTTTTTTCATTTTCAACAAAACACTTCCACTTTCTATTAAAAAACCACTTTTACCCTTACTTTTTCATACCCTACCTATCACATCATACTTTTTCTCTAATAATCTACCCATCACATCTTACTTTTACCCATCACATCAAGGGCAACATTGGAAGTCAACTACAATTTAACACTTCCTTATTTTTCTACTTTTTCAAAGTAGGAACTCTTTTAGAGAACGGAGGGAGTACTATTTAGTGCAAATATATATTTCTAATTTATCTGTACCTTTCGCGCTACGAGCGTGGCGAAGAAGAGGAGTTGCTCTGACATCGGGAGGACGAGCGGGCCGAGCGTCGTGATGTTCGTCTTCAGTGCCTCTCCCGCCACCGACATTAGGTCTTTCGAGAGTGCCACGCCGACCTGCTTCTTGTCGTCTTCCTCCTGGAAGACGCAGGAGTAGCTGCGGTCATCTGCGCCCTTGTGGGTCCGGACGGTGTGGATGAGCTGGTACTTTGACCTCCGGCGGTCTGAGGAGCGGTTCGAGAGGAGGACGGCGGCGCCGCCCATCCGGAATATGCAGTTTGAGACTAGCATTGATCGGTTGTTTCCAAAGTACCAATTGAGAGTTATGTTCTCCATGCTCACTACTAGGGCATAGGAGTTTGGGTGCACCTGTTACAAAAAAAAAATCAACCTTTTAGTGCTCACTCTTGACAATTAAACATGTTGGTAGTCAAAATATTGGTGAAAGATAATGTGATTTTTTTTTTAAATTTGACAATGCTAGCTAAAAATGACCCGAAAATGATTCAGATATCTTGGGACACCTATGGTTTTTCATTTGTTAAATCGATAGTTTTTACCCTTAGCCAGAGACGATATTTTGTACACTTTTAAAGCACACTTATGTTGGCACGCGAATTTTCGCCACTTTTTCATGCAACAATAATGATAAGAATTTAGTGTAACATCCAAAAAAATGTTAGTATACTATAGTAAAGCTGGCAAGAATTTAAAGCTCTTACAACAAGTTGGGACTGAATTGAACATGACAATAGTAAAGATGGAGTAAGTTATTCAAAAAAAACAAAAAGTAAACCCAAAAAATGCATTTTTAATTTAGAAAAATAAAATTTATATATTGAAAAACTATATGAAAAATTCTAAGAGTTAGAGATGATATAATCATATTATTTTATCACATGAATAACAAAAAAGAGTAGAGAAAGGGATTAAAATTTAATCTTATAAATAGTAAGGGGTGCAATTTAAATTGAAACGAATGAAGTATTACTTTCACATTACTTTTAATATACTCCCTCCGTCCCCCTAAGATGTTCTCATTTTGACTTTTGGTGGTTTTTAAGGAGAGTTGAAAAAAGGGTGAAAGTTTACCATAATACCCTTAATGAAAAAATTATCGATCTAATTATATTGTAACGCTTAACTTTAATGTTTTTAAAGTTAATCTGTAAAGTCAAGCAAATTAAACCTGTAGGAGCTGTTTGGCAAGATGAATTGAGATGAGGCCAGCACTGCAGCCCATGCCACCAAGGTTATAGCTTTGGATGTTTCCCCTAAGCTTGTAGTGGTTAACAATCATGGAAGACAGTGATGGGGTTGGGTTAAACAAACTGCAGTTAACCACAAGTATCCCAATGTCCTTAGCCTTAACCCCAGTCTTACCCAGCAACTCATCAATGGCACCAAACATGACCATTTCAGCCTCCTTCCTTGCCTCCCCCATGCAAGGGTTTGCAGGAACCCTAAGGAGTGCCTCTGGGAAATATGTCTTTTCACCCAAACCAGACCTCTCCAATATCTTCTTCTGAAAGGACAAGTTCTCCTCTGTGAACACATTGGCTTGCTTTGACCTCTCCATGAAGGTGCTTTTAGGGCACATGACCTCCTTGGGGGGCTTGTAGCATGCAAAGTCCACCATGTACACCCTCCGCGGCCTCGTCGTGAAGTAGAGCGTCCCCAAGAAGACGGCGAGCGTGGAGCACGCGACGACCGTGACGAGGTTGAACCTCAAGTGGGCCCACAGCTGGGCCAGGTCGGCCGCTGTGAGCGTGGAGAGGTGGGCCGGGACCGCCGCCAGAAGCGGGACCAGCAGCAAGTACATGAAGTGGGTGACCAGGTAGTGGTACCCCAGCTTCACGTACTTGAGCCTCACCGACGAGAGGAAGTTCGGGAGGTCGTCCCCGCCTCCTCCCATCTTCTTCCCCTCTGCGGCGACGCGATGGTTCTCCCCCATTGCCTGTGTAACACAACCCACAAGAGGCAAACAAGAAGGGTAAATTTGGAAGAGAAGAAAAAAACTAGCTAGAAGGTATGTATGACAAGGAAGGAGGTAGCTAGAGAGAGGTAAGTGTTGAATTGGAATGGGAATGGGGGGAGGCAATTGTCTGAGTATTTATAGAGGGTGGAGAAGGTGGAAAAGGTGATTACTTCTCTCTATATCTGTCTCATTAAAAATAGTTCACACTTTATTTTTTGTTCATTTTAAAATACACCTTCCATTCAGCAATAAAGCTCTCGTTTAGTATTTGTAAGGTCAAACTTTAATCACTTTGTTGGTCTATTTTCGTCTCATATTTGATAAAATAATATAGTCATGCCGTCTCTAGTTTTGTAGATCTTTTCATGCAATTTTTAAATATATAATTTTTATTTTTTAATTTCATAATATTTTTAATATAAAATGATTTGAANTGGGGGGAGGGACAACTACCCCAACGAACTCTTCATAATGGACAACTAAAACACACGGCTAAGGCATTCATTCAAACTTGTGTTTGTCCACAAGCGCGAAAATGAGGGGAGGGAGCGTCGTCGTGGCATTCCGCATTACTAGGTGGGGTAGATCCAACTAAGGGGCTGTTTGTTTCAGCCTCTTAATGGTTCAGATGTCTGAATGGTTCAGTACTTAATGGTTCAGACTGTTTGTTTCAGCCTCTTAATGGTTCAGATGTCTGAATGGTTAAGAGATTTGCCTCTGAATGGTTAAGTATTATACAGAGTCTGAATAGTTAAGACCTCTTATCTGAATTGATCAGACATTTGCCTCTGAATAGTTAAGCAATATACTAGCTTTTAATGGTTCAGACCTCTTACTGGTTCAGCACTTAATGGTTCAGACCTCTTACTGGTTCAGCACTTACCCATTCAGAAGTTGCCAAACAGCTTCTAAGCCCAAGGCCACTACGAATCTTCATGGTGAGACATCCTAAAAAAGAAAGTGAGGCACTATGGGTGCGCTGAGTGGCTGCTGATTTAAAAAAAGTCTCTGCATCAGACTCGGCCAGACGATCAATGAATGGAGATAATTTAGATTTTAATTTTAGATTAGTAACATGAAGCAGAGTTTACACTTGGTACATGCAAAGATCCCATGTTTGACATAATTACCTCTATGTGCAATTGCATGCCAAGAATCGGACTCGGATCTGCCCATGACACTTCCTACCTTTGCCAAATGTGCAACGCCTACTAATCCTTAACCTACCTATCACATCATAGCTTTTTACCAATAATGTACCCACATATTACTTTTACCCATCACATCAAAAGTATTTTTGGAACGTCAACAAAAAATCATCTCTTTCTTAAGTTTTCTAAAAGTCAAAACAGAAACATTTTTATGAAACGAGGGAAGTATAACTTACATATATTTAAAAACTATACAAAATATTCTACAAAACGAATGGTGACAAGAATAATTTGTTTTATCAAATGACTAATAAAAAATACACACAATCTCAAATTATCGAAAGCCAAAATTAGTAAAGAAGAAAAAATTTTATGGAGTTGAGGAGATCAAAGCTCTAAGAGCTTTATCTCTTCAACTTAGTTATTGCATGCATATTCTAATTGGATTTAGATCATGTCGAATTAAAAATAATTTTAAATCTAAGTATAATCAAATTAGACCAGACCAGATTAATTCAGATCAGAACAAAGAATATGTACGATTTTAATCAAATCAGATCCAATCAAATGAGACAAAGAAAACAAGCTCTAAACCTCACAAAACACAAAAAAATTGGATCAACCTACAAAAAATTGAAAAGCAAAATTCAAAAATATGACAATTTTTTCACCAGTTGGAATTTAATAACATTGAAATAATGACCACATATTATTGCAGCATGGGTGAGCATGAAATGGGAGTATGGGATGCACAAAGCAAAATGAAAAGGAAACTTCGGGATCATATGCATACTTTGACTTATTCAAAGTCAATGTTGCCAAACCGAGTAAAATTTATTTGTTTTTAAAGAGTCAACTTGGTGTGTATTTTCATCATCTATGACATGTTGCATTTAATTTGTACACCATATATAACACTTGCATCTTCCTTACATCATGAAAAATTTGGAATGATTTAGCCACTCTTCTTAATTTACACTTTAATTATCAATTAAATATTTTTGCATTCCATATTAATACAAAAATACATGAATTCATTACTCTAAAAAAAGATTATTATACCTCAGACTCAGATGGTAAGCAGAGAGAAGTAAAATCAAATTATAGTCTCAGTTAGTTTGATCGGAAACGTGTTAGATCTGTCGTTGATACATGCAAGAATTATATGCTTAACATGATTATTTTATCTCATTGTCGTCACGATTAGAATTTGAATTGACTTCATATAACACTATTTTTTTGACGGGCTGAGTTACGCCCACGGGACATGATTTCCATAACTCAAAAAAAATGAGTCCCATTTTCGAGGACCCTCTAAACCCGGCCAGACGGTCACTAGATCTGCTCGTTTAACATTCTTTATATTTACCAATTACGCAACTGTCTACGGACTAATTTTCATAAGAGTAAATTCTATAATTGGTCCTTTATAACAGGGGAGTTTTCCTATTTAGTTCTCTATTATCAAATATTACCCAAGTGGTCCTTCTTTTATGGGTACCTTTCCACAAATAGTCCTTTTTTTGATCTTCTATCATGTTGGTGTTAATTTGAGGGCTAAAAGTGTAATTTCACAATGATAATATATCTTTTTTGTCATACACAATTCCAAAAGCTGTTCCGTTTGCGTCGTTTGTGAATTAAAGTCGCTTTTTACGACAAATATAGTCTACAAACGTGATCTTTCGTCAGAATCCTAGCCCACAATCATAGTCATTATTTTTGTGTTATCCGCTTAACCAATATCAGAACACGTCACTATACATATACATTTAGCCTTTAAATTAACACCAACACGGCAGAATATCAAAAAAGAACCATTTGTGGAAAGGTACCCTTAAAAAAAGGATTACGGGGGTAATATTTGATAATAGAAGACTAAATATGGAAACCCCTATATTATAAAGGATGAATTATGGAATTTACTCTTTTTTCATAAGTAAGTATTAGAGTTTAGATGAGATGAGATGAGATTAGAAGGATGGATGCTAAAAGTGGGCATTCTTTTCTTGTCTTAAATGCAAACAGTGACGAACAGGCAATAGCTGTCCACTAGTTTGTGAGCCATCACATGCCGGACAAGTAATGCCCCAAAATACACTACATTAATTAGATTATTATTGAAATAAATATATATTATTTCACAAAAAATAAATATTATTTCACTTCGTCCCAATTTATTTTTCTCAATTAGCAAAACACAGGGTATATAAATTCATCTTTTTTAAAAATGATGTTATTTATAAATTAGTATAGAAATGATTAAAAAGTACTAAATTATATTACGGAGTAAAATTTTTACAAATTAAAACACGTGGTGATACAAATATTTAATTTTATCAAATTATCAATAAAAACAAGTATGTTTTATAAAATGTATGAATTCAGTTTGACAATATATTTAATTTTTAATAATAGCATTTTGAAAAGATTATTTAACGACACATTTGACTTTAACATTTTCAATGTTATGTTATACGAGTAAAAGTTTATTTAAAAGGCTAAGGCTAATTGAAAAATTAAATTATTTCCAACCAAGTCTAGATGTATATTAATTAAAGGCTGTATATCAAGATGTATTGTAGAGAAACTCTTAAATTAGTGTAAGATGGACCATGGAAATAATTAAATAAACAAAAAGGTATAGGTGGGATATTAATTGCGGCACAACCGCCCAATAATTTACTAATAATTTCTTGCATAGTCTCTTTGTCTAACGATTACGTAAGATTTTATCTTATATTCTGAGCTTATAAACTTGATTATTATGACATTATGTTCTTTAAAATTTAAACTCTTAATTTTTAGTTTATTCTAGTTTTTCTAATTCCAGTTTTTCCAATTTTTTTAAATTCTTTTCAGTTTTTTTTAGTTTTTTTAAGTATACTCATTTTCTTTAATTTTTTTTACAACCAAATAATAACTTTAAAAATGATATGTTTTTCATGTATTATTATTACTATTACTATTTAGTATTACTATTGCTATAGTGTATATGTTATTTCAATTTTTTTTATTTTTCCCACGATTTTGTGATTCACATTTATTACTATTTTTTATTCCATTTTTAGTATAAATAATGCAGAGTATAATTTTATTGGGATTTTTTAAATAATTTTTACATGAAACTAAATTATGTGTCCAAAAATTATGAGAATTTTATTAATCTAAATTGACTTGGGAAACACATCAATTCTATAATAATTATACTACTCTCTTTGTCCCTAATTAAATGACAAGTACACTATTTACATGGTCAAATTCTATTTAATTTCTTTGCTATTATGTACTCCTCTTGTCCAATAATAATGTTCTTGTTTACTATTCATATGGTCAAACTTTATTCACTTTATTGGCATATTTTCATTGCTCATTTGATAAAATAATATAATCATGTTACCTCTAGTTTAAAACTCTATCCGTTCTAAAAAAGGATTCCTAGAAGAATATCATGTAAATAAAACATTTAATACTCATTTCATCCCAGAATAAGACTCGTTTAATAGAAAATTCTAGACTAATTTTCAGTTATATTTATTTGAAAATAAAATTGGTCAAACATAATAAATCAAAGAAGAAGTTTTATTTTAGAACGCATGGAATCGTTTATTAAATATTTCTTTTACATGATATTCCTTTACAGAATTTTAAACAATCTAAAGTGTTTGCGTTCAGCTTTATTACATTATATTTATAGTTTTGTTTATTATATTTTCAACATATATTATTTAAAATTATTTTTCCATATTCATTGACTTTATATTTCAAAAATGGACCAATTTGAGAAAACACACATTTAGAAAGGACCATTATGGGGAACTAGTGGTGTAAGTTTTCACGTTGTTTTGACGCTGTTATATGACGGTCGTTAGTCAGAGAACTTAACTAAGCATGTTTCTCAATTAAAGAATACTATCTTAGCAATTAGTTAGTCTTGACAAAACACATAGTTATTGAATACTACGTATTATTTAACAATATTTACTCAAAATCAAACTAA